TAAAATTCATAATAACAGTTTTACCCCTGTGAATCATAATCATAAATAGTAATTGTTAATAATACTAAAAACAATAATATCCCTAAAAAACTAAAACAATCGTAAAAAAAAAAAACTCTGAAGCTAAAACTACAATACACATCATTTTAAAATTGAATAAAAATTAAGAATAAGAAGAAGTTTCTCTTGCATCACAAGTGCACCGCTGATAGCATTTCGTGATTTGAGGTATTAGAGGTTGATTTTGATACGTCCCAAGTAGGGATAGGATTTGTGTTGAGAGTAGGGGCGTTTTGTGGCATTCTTTAATGAAAAATTGAATGATGCTTGTTCCCGGTACTCGACATATGATGGCAAATTTTATGCGATAGTTCAAGCTCTCAAGCTCTTCGACACTGGAGACATTGTTTGATACAAAGGGAGTTCCTGTCGTACTCAGACCATGAAGCATTGGGATACATTATCCCTAATGTACACTAAATAGTCAACATGATAAATGGATCACATTCTTATAAGATTACAAATTACAATTGAGCACAAATCCTGAGCTCATAATAAGGTGGCAGATGCCTTAAGTCATCACCTCATCCTAGGAAAAATGTCTCATACAGTGGTAGGTTTTGTGTCTCTTAAGGACCAATACACTACTGATCCATAATTAAGTCAGATATGGGAGTCTTGCTAATCTAATGGTTTGGATCCCACTTCCAGGTTTGTTCTCCATTATGGATTCTGTTCCATGGACTCAATTGTGCGTACCGGAGAGTTCTCCTTATGAGAACATCATTCTTAAGCTGCATAGGGGGGATCTTGCGATCAAGCCAAGACTATTGCATTGCTAGAAGAGAGGTAGTTTTGGCCCTGGTTGAGGCCCAATGTCAGGTGATATGTAGAATGTTGTTGAGTTTGTCAAGTTTCAAAGGCCAGTCTTAAAATACCAGCCTCTACACTCCACTTCCATCACATGTGCTCCTTGGAAGATGTAAGCATAAACTTTGTGTTAAGATTTACCAAGAACAGCTAAGAGGTATGATTCTATGTTTGTAGCACTGGACTGTGTTTTGAAAATGGCCCATTTTATTCCCTTTCAAAAGACCACTGATGCATCTCATGTCGCAAATAGAAGTTTTTTATTTTCAAGGTGTACCTAAGTTGATGATCTCTGATCAAAATACTAAAATCCAGAGTCATTTTGGAGGACACTGTTCAAACTAGGTATAACTCTATAGTTCAGCTACGCATATCATCCTCAAACTGATGGGCAGACTGAGGTAGTCAACAGTGGTTTGGGAAATCTGTTGAGATGTCTTGCAAGTGAGAGGCCGAACCAGATGGATCTAAGTCTTCCTTAAGCAGAATTTGTTTATAATAGCTCGGCTAACCGATCTACCAAGAAGTCTCCTTTCGCATTTGTGTATGGTCACTCCATTCCACACGTATTAGACCGTGTGCCATTACCATGTGTGGGAAGGAGTGCGTAAGCAGACGGATATGCTCAAGACATCAAAAGGAACTCCTTGCCAAGTAGAGAGCCAATTATGCTGAGTATAAGCAGGTTGAAGAGGAGCATCGACATGATAGATCGCTTTTTTGTGGAGGACTCCATCATGTTACATCTGAGGCATGAGACGTTTCCCATCGATATCTACAACAAGCTACGCTAGCGAAGGTTGGGCCATACCAGATTCTCAAGAAGTTTGACAACAATGCTCATCTCCTAAACTTTCCTGAGGACTTCCAAATTGTGCTAATTTTTAATATTGCCAATCTCTACGGGTTTTAAGGTGACCCACCTGTAAACTTGGATGCCAGTTCACTGGAAGTTGCAGAGCCACTAAGAGCTACTCAGAAGAGATTGACGATGTGGTGGATATTTGGATCATTGTTACACACCGTAGTTCATAATGCAGATACATGGTTCATTGGAAAACCACACGTTGAGTGGATTGATGAGCATGAGTTATGCAAGAGGTAGGATGATCTTTATCAGCATTACATGGAGGCATATTCGAAGGGGTTCAGGTTTTCCCAACCCGAGGGAATTTATGACTGCATCATGGCCTTCTATTCGACTAATTTAATTTGATAATAGATTTTAAGTTTTTTAGAGTGAAAACTAGGGTTTGAAGTGCTAATTATTTATGTTGGGGATATTTATGTCTTTTGGGTGTTGTAGAGAACTCAAAGGTAATTTCTATTCTTACTTCTTTTCTTTCCTTTCGGTTCCCTTCCACTCCTTATCTTTCCATTATTCCCCTTTTCTTTCCCTTCTTTCCTCTTTTCTTTCTTTATTTTTTCTTCCTGTTTTTCTTCTTTCTTTTCCCTAATTTCGCATTTAAAAATAAGAACCGTATTTTTCCAATTACCCCAATAACTTCTAAAACCCCTGAATTAGTTGTTGAAACCTTCCAAAATTAATTTAATATTATTCAACACCAACTTCTTGTCTCCGGGTAGTAGACTAGTCTTAAATTTGATCAAATTTAACTTTTAATTAGCTGATTTGTTCAAGGACATATTTCAATCCATTATGGATTCAATATCTCAGACATTAAAATAAGGGATTGTATACAATGAGACCATTTGCTTTTAGTACAGGGAAGTCACAATTACGTAAAACCATCCAATGTGAAATCTGATAGCTTGGGTGTGTTGCAAAGTTTGAGAAAATTTATTTCGAACTTTGAGCTTGGTCAATGAAATAAATGCAGCCCCCAATTTCACATCCAATGGTCAAGATTAAGTGTGACCACCTTGTGCCAAAGGTAAATGGTCTCATTATATACTCTCTCTTAAAATAAATTTCGGAATAGTTGATTTTTGCAAGTTTGGTTACTCCGTTTTGTGGATGCATACCTCTGCTGAATTTATAGATAACTAGCCTTAGTTTAATCCTAAATGTTCTCCAAACATGTTCTAGAGTATTGTAATAAAAGATTAGCGAATGTTTCTCATCTTAGGTTACTTCAGAAGCTAGCAAATAGACATGGTGTCTTAAGTCTCTATGATGGACTTCTAAATTTTGTACCTTCAACAAAAGCTGATACTAAAGGAGCAGGTTTTTAATAGCAAACAAGCTACGACACAAGGAGATAGGAAGAAAGCCAAAAGGAAACAAGTTATCTACGCAAGAATTCACGTAGGAAAAAGAAGCCCATACGGAAAAGGATGATCCGCAATGGTCCAAGGAAGGGAATTTCCATTAGAAGCATGGGGAAGTCCTTCGGGAGAAGAGCCCAACACCCAAAGTCTTTAGGAATTCACTGCTACATCACTACAAGGAGGGGTTTGTTTGACCCATTATTGTGCCATGGTTAATTGACTCAAGAAAGTATGCTAAGAATACATTACAATTTGCGGATTACCTACTCTCCCATGTTTGATCTTCTGACTCATGGAAGGATGTCATTTTCAGTGCATTGATGCAAAAAAATCTGCAGTTTATTAAGGAACTAAACATAGGCAAGTTAGATAAGCTTCTCAAAGAAACACACAAATTGGCAGAGATTAAACATTCATGGTGGCAAGTCAATAAAAGTTGATTTTGGAAGTGAAGAAGAATAATAGGAAGAAATTACTAGCATTAATAGGTGGTTGTGCAAAAATGTGAACCCATAATGATCTGAGAGATATATGCAGATCTGAGAGATATAGGCATGTCTTTAGACTTCACTCACGCTTGCAATGTGGGAGGCTTTATGAAGGATAATGGAAGAGATAATGAACAAGGGCAGCCAAATGTAATGATAAAAGTATCACATAAAATCATAAAAAACTAGACACCGGAATTGAAGGGGTTCTAAGAAAGCAATGGACATTGTCAAAGAATATGGAAGAGGGGAGGTCAAAAGAAGCAAATGAAATAAAGGACAGCCAAGAAAACTACGGATTATCAAACAGAGGGATCATGTATGTTCCATGCCTTTTGGTAGTCATCAAAATATAGTTATATTATGGAGCTCTTTAACTGGATTGAGCTTTACTTACATATAATTTTACAGATAGGGTAGTATTTCAGATGAATTGTATAATTCTGATAAGAGTTGTATACATCACATTTGTCACAATTTTACAGGAATGGCATCATATAATTACCGAAAGTTGTAAACCCCGCCATGGCCGATCCCAAGCCTGGTTAAAGGAGGAGGGTTGTATTAGGCAAAGAAGCCAGAGCAAAAGTTTGCCACATCTTTTCATGAATCCTAAACCTATGTTATTGATGAAACAAGATTCATGTAGCCGGCCCCAAATAGTTCAGATAAGGCCTTGATGATGATGATTTACTAAAAGTTGTACCTATCATATTTTACAAAAAGAACAGGTATGGAGATCATAATTTCAAAACTTGATTAAGTGTTTCCAAGTTCCAACAAGAACATTGGTTTTCATCAACTGTTGTTGATCCGCTGTACAAATTGAATCGAAACCTATGATTACGATTTGTCTCCCACTCAATGAGTGAAGAATATATTCTTGGAATGGATGGATTCTCAATGAATTTGATGATACCCACATAGAGTATAATAATGCAAAAAGTAAGTCAATAAATGAAGAAAACATAGATAACCATAACAAGCTACACACACAAACATGGAATAGAATGGGCAATTTTGTGGACAGCAATCATTCGCATGCTCTCAGGTGTTTGTGCACGCCAGAGTGTGCGGTTGAATGTAAGCATGAATGGCTTTATATAAATATATTTATACATACACAAACAAGTGTGTGCACATGTGTACATGCATCCTTGAAGCTCTCAAACTCCTTTTAAGAAATCAAAGTCTGCAAGTTCAATGAAAGGCAGAATTTATCGCCCTCCATCCTAGAGCAATCTACTTATAAATGTAAAGAACTAGTAAACAAATGGTGAGGACCAGTATAACAAATTACGAAAAAAGAAATAAGAAAATTCATTCTCAAATAAAAGCAACAAACAAATTGTACATGCATGAAACTCATTCTTCATTTGGTAAAGCAATGTAACTGCAAATAATACATACCCTTCCCTGCCTTTGAAGCAAGATTTGTGACTTCTAACTCTAAATTTGCTGGTCCCTGCATATTTTCAATTAGAGTTATCAGATGTTACAATCTGCTCCACGACATCCCCAGCTGGAAAAGAACTAATTTATCATGGACCGCGGAACACGGATATAATCAACACAAATTCTATACAAAAATGTTGGGTTTGTAGTTCCCTACTGAGTAAGAAAACATAATTATAAAGAGAGTTTAGGAAGGGAATCAGCATAGGTATGGTAGAATAATTTGGAAGACTTTCGCTATAGATGTTAGAGGTCATCAAGAATTGGAAGTCAGCAATTCATTATTCCATGTGTAAAAGGTTGCAACTATATGTGCAAATCTTTGGCATGCTTTATTTAATGGGTGGGGTTTGCAAGAGGTTGCAACCTTAAACAACCAAGTAAGGTGCACCACAAATTTTATCATAAGATGTAATTTTGGTGTAGAAGATTCTTAGGATGAACTAAGAATCCATTTTCATCACTCATCATCATCATAGCCTTTTTCCAATTATTTGGGGTCGGCTACACAAATCCTGGTCCGCCAGTTTGCTCAATTAAATGCCATACCCTCAGTGAAGCCATAAGTTCCCATATTTTTCGGACTACTTCCAACCACATCCTTTTGGGCCTACCCCGTGCTCTGAAAAGACTACTTCTAACCACATCTTTTTGGGCCTACCCCTTGCCCTCTTCAGTCCTTCCACTTGAACTAACTCGCACCTCCTAACAATTGTTATACTGGGTCGGCGCCACACATGGCCAGCCCACTGAAGTCTAGAATCCATTTTCATCACTAATTACAAAATTTTAGTCTGCAAAAATGACTCAAATGAAGTAGATCTATAAACATAAGAAAATCGTGAAAATCGACGGTTTAGATAATATGTTGCAAACTACACTATTTTTTGAACATAATCATTTTATTTTATTTTTCCATGTTCATACATCTCGATATTTTTCCATGTTCATACATCTCGATGTCGAGATGATCAACTAGAGGATTTTCCAACTTCAAATTTTTAGATGCACCTTAATTCTACTTTTTAAGGTTGCAACTTTATATAAATGTTTTCCTTAGTTAATTTTATTTGCTAATTGAGGATCACGTGTGTGCTCTATCTCTTATTTTCCATGGAAGAAGTAACTGCATGTTATTTAAATGTATCGTTTTTAGATTGACTCGACTAAATATTTCAAACCTAAAGATTTATTGAGACCAGCATGTTAGGACATGCTTTTTAGATATCACATGGATTGGTAGAAACTCCAGGTAAATATAACTACCATTTCGTGCTCCGACGGGGGCATACTGTCCATCTACTCCCTCAAGCAACACTCAATCTACAAGTACTTTTAGGACCAAAATATTTGGTGATTGACCTCTTTAACCTAATACTAACCTGAAAAGGACAAAAAAAAAATTCAGGTCGCACTTCTTTATGTGCCTAAAAAAAGAGCCCCAAGATTGACTGAGACTATCCTATATTTGAAACAGCATATTTAAGTATTGAAGATCTCAAAAATTCATTTTTTTCCAAAAAGTAATCATATGGTGATTCTAAGCTGAATCACAAAATTTATGATAAAAAGGGTATTTCAGAGTTTTTAACGATGGACTTTTTTAGGTGCACCTTAATTCTACATTTTAAGGTTGCAACCTTATATCAAATTTTCCTTATTTAATTTTATTTGCAAAGTATGGGTCACGTGTGTGGTCTATCTCTGATTTTCCTCGGATGAAGTAACTAACTATTATTTAAATGTATCGTTTTTCAGATTCACTTGACAAAATATTTCAAACCTAAAGATTCATTGACACCACCATGTCAGGGCATATGCTTTCTAGATATCACATGGATTGGCAGAAACTCCAGTAACTGTCATTTCGTGCTCCGGTGGGAGCATACTGTCCATTTACTCCCTCATGTAAAACCCAATCTAGAATTACTTTTAGGACCAAAACATTTTGGTGATGTGGCCTCTTTAACCTAGTGACTAACCTGAAAAGGGAGAAAAAAAAACAAAAAAATATTCTGGTTGCACTTGTTTATGTGCCTAAAAAAATGGTCCTAAGGTTGAATTGAGACTGTCCAATTTTGGGAGAGTCAGATTTAAGTATTGAAGAACTCAAAATTCATTTTTTTCCAAAAAGTAATCATATGGTGATTCTTAGGTGGACCACAAAATTTCTGATAAAAAGAAACCTTGCAACTAGGTTTTTTTTTTGGCTTGAGGAAGAAAGTGTACAATTCGATCTTGCATGACCATGGTATATGCATTCAATGTAATTTCAAACTCCTTAAAGTTTTATCAATGCATTTCATAAGGCTCACATAGATGGTTTTCCATTTATATCAAATATTGTCTTCACTAATCTTATGCCCCAGGATTTAGATCAATGCAGATATCAGATGGTGAAAGTCAATTTCATTTTCCCAGACATATCTACAATCCACTTGACTAGTGAACAGGTCAGTAAACCTCAGAAAAACAGTTTCTTGAAACCGTGTTTATGTAGTGTCCAGTTATTTCTATGATCTGTTCAGCTTCTGAACACATAGCAGTCCACACAAATTCCAACGGTCTATTTATTTGGCTTCTGACATGCCTCAGTTTAGTGAATCCTAAAATGCAAAAAATGGTAACAGACAAATGATGACAACAGGAAAATGAGAAAGAACCCAAAAATCAAATTGTGGCAACCTATAAGAGATCATTAAACTCATGTACATACCTTTCGAGGAACTTCAAAGATGAATAGTTCATTCCACCTAACAGTTCCTTGGAGTTCACTCTTGTTCTCTGAGATTAGAGGCTTGACACATCGAGTTCTAGCGCTCTGAGGAAATAGCTTTTGCTGATCCATAGCTTGACTAGCAGACACCAAGCGTAAAGCACAGAAGAAGTCATGTTTATTACCATCATCCAATAAAGTCAAGCCCTGCAGATATACCACAGAAAAATATAGATTCAAACAGATTCTCAAAATGGACAAAGAGATCATCAACAATTTCAAAATATATGACCTTAGACTCAAGGATATGCACTGTCACATAGTGGTGGTTTTCCCTCATCTCTGTCGCAAAATTAAACCTATCTGAGAACCTGGGTGGTGGTAGCCAAGCTGATGTACTCTCTTCATGCTTTAATGATTCAATTTCCTTAGAGTTTTGAACATATTTTTTAACATAAATATCACATCCAAGCTTATTCTCTATAATTACTTTCCGAAAATCATCTTCTTCCAATGCAAAACAAGTTGAACCATCTAACTGTCCTCGACCATTATCTGCTTCCTGCAATTACATACAACCATGAATTCACTATCATTCAGTAGAATCATACAAATCAGAAGACAAAAGTTGAAAACCTATATGCCATAGCTAACCTCAGTGGCTTTCATCAACTTTTCCTCTAACTCAACTTGTCTTCTCCAAGAAACTACAGACCCCACACAAGTTTCAAGATTAGCAGCAGTGATATTAAGATTCACAGTGCTTGTTGCAGCAATCCGCACTCGTTTTCCAACTCTGGAAGGCATATGAATATCGCTTTCATATGATTCATACCTCCAAAGGAAAAAAGAAGGAAAAACAAATTAGGAAATTAAGTGAATGCTAGACCTAAAATGGCTCATCAAAACAAGATTGCAAGACAAGACTTAAAAGAACTGATGAGAAATGTAACTGGCATTACACATGATAGCAAAAGAAAACACAAAAATCATGATATGGCCACAGGTAACCCTTACTTGAATATGCCATCAAATGGTTCAACAAGAGGCTCCCATACTTCCAATTGAGAATTGAATGTTGATGCAGCTATTGAAGAGATCAATACTGCATTCATGGCCTCTAAGCGGCCAGTTGTCACAAGGTTAAGATTCGAAACTGTTGTGTCGAATAGTGGTGTCATCTGCAAAGTTTAATGTCAAAAGGAGTTTCCTACATATAGATACAGAATCATTTATTATGAAGGGACATACCATCCCATAGAGGCCATCAAGGACTGTCAAAGAAAAGCATCTTAACTTCATTTCAGCACTGATATTCTGTCGAGACTTGGGTTTCACACAATCAGCTATGCTATAAGCCAAACGGCTAGATGGTTTCCTCAGGTCAGATCTTGCAAGGAATGTGCTAGCCTGCAAAAGAAGATGTAAGCTCCAATCACAATGTACATCAAGTGCTATTTATCAAGCAGCAATCAGATGGAAACAAGGAATCCTACAACAATCAAAAGACAATGAATAAACTAAGAACACACAACACATGGATTCCAATTAAAACCCAATGATGTATGAAGCACCATCCTAATGCAAGAGGCAAAACTAGAGTGAGAATATATTAATAAACACCTGATTTTTAACTTTCCAAATGCTCCAGTTGTTGGAACCCCTAGAACTAGAACCCTTACTAATGGCTTCATCAGAAATGTTCGCCTGATTAACAAGATCCATTCGTAGGCAGCAGAGGGATTCCACACATGGCATGGCATCTGTCCTTGACACTATGCAACCCATAGAAGCATAACCAGGAGGAGAGATGGGGTACCAAAAGAAAGCTTCTTCAATCCCTTTCCCCACTACATGAGCAATTCTCGTAAACTGCACAGGCTTAGCAGAAAGCCCACTAGTATCGTTCTTAAACATTAAGCCTAAAGTAGGAGGTTCCAATCTGAGAAACAAGAAAATACAAAAGATTGTTTGATTCAGAAGATTCAAAACTGATAAGAAGAAAAAAGAAATTATATCCACAAATACCAATCTCACCCTTCAGTTATACAATCACCAAGAATGGAAAAACCAGGACGTGGAAGCGGTCGCCATATCGAAACAGGTTTTCTATGATCAGAGCCCTTATCCCACCAAATTCTTTCAAAATGCGGGGTGGACATGTAGTAACTACTGGATTTTGAAATCGACCTAAGCATATCCCACCCATAGGAAGTCACACCCTGATCAGCCTCGCGTATATCATTATTATTTTTCATGGAAATATCTAGGCTGGGAATATTGATCGAATTTGATTGCTGGGTTGGGCTGCGACGTAAAATATCACGCAAATCGCAGAGAACAGTTTTCGGAGGGCATTCAGTGGAAGCATGTGCATAAAATGACCCCAGACAATTCTCAAGGCGCCAGATGCTAAATCCTGAAGAAAACCTGAAAGGATCAAGCAAAAATAAACCATATATTAACATAATGGATAAACAAAGCAGCCTCAAATATTATCATCTATCTACAAATATACACATATGCATGCACGCAGCGCATGCACACGCACACACACACACACACACACACACACAGATGCATATGTGCAGTGGATTCGTATGTATGTGCCTTCATGTACGTGTGGGAGTGTAAGTGGCCGTGAATGATACATGTTCGTATGCATATGTGCAGTGCATTGATACATGGCCGCATGCACTCACGTGAACATATATAATAATGAGTAATATGAATCGAAACATGAGCACATGCATTAAATGATCCCCCAACCCTAGTTATCTTTTACTAAGTACATCCATTCCATCCCAAGTTAAATAACCAAAATCATTGAAATCAGTAAAACGTGAAGTGCCAAGTGAAGGGGAGACAATACCTTCGGTCTGGGGGGACATACAAAATGCAATCTGAAAAGGCTGCAGACGTCACAAGATCAGAACGAATGCAATAAACAATGTGGTTTGGTGGTGGTCTGCTGCCAATTTGAGCTATGCATCCTAAAGCACAGTAGCCCAAAGGTGCAATTGGCATCCATAGAGAGCAATCACTGTCACCATCTGACTGATCCTCTGACTGGGTAGCATCCTCTTCCAATCCCTGGATGTTGGAGAATAAACCGAGGAGCTGGAAACTAATAGGCTTCCTTACACGGCCATAAGTATTACTCACAGCCATCACAACTTGAGAAGGAGTCGTCGGCCTGAAACAAAGAGGAAATCATAATTAGAATTGATGACGAAATTGTGGCCTTCCATTGGATTAGATTATTTAATTTTTTATATATTCTATTGGTGGCAAAAGAAAACTTATTTAATGACGCAATGAAGGATTTTTCTTGTTTTTCTTATTATATTTCATTAAATTGCTTGGGACAAGTTTATTATAGTCATTTGGTCTTTTGATTTTATTTAGTTATCACAGGGTAATTTATGCCCTTTTTTGGTAGTAGAAAATTAACGGGTAGTTAAGTCCTTTTTAATTTCTTAAAGTAGGGACAGTTAAGTCTTTTCTTTTGGGACAAATGCATAGAAAAAGGTGGGTGGGACTTCCACTGCCCTGGTGATTGCTTTTGAAAAAAAAATTGAGAATAAAAAGAAAAAAAAAAGGAAGGGTTTCCTTGTTTCATTAATTGAAAACCCAATGAAAAGGTCTAAAGGCTTCGTAGCACCAATCAAGGTACCAAAGTTCCAAGGTATTTGATGTAGAGAAAATTGAAGGAAAAATAAAATCAGCAAGAAACAAAGCTAAACACAAGCACAAGTCGAAAAAACCATAGATTTATGATTTCTTCTCCATAACCCAAGCTCAGCAAGAAACAAAGCTAAACACAAGCACAAGTCGTAGAAACCATAGATTTATGATTTCTTCTCCATAACCCAAGCTAGGGTTCCAAAAACTTAAGCTTCTCTCTCTTTCAATATTTAAAAATCATATGGAATTGACCCTCTCAAGGCCCTACACACCTCTTATATATTATAATTTAATGTTCAACGACATTATATCTCCATACAATGATTAAAATGACCTACATATCTTAACTTAAACTTAAATTTAGTAATGACAGTTTTGTCCCTCTGAACAGTACCATGAATAGTAATCATGAATAATACTTGTGAATAGCACTTATGAAGTAAATATAAAAACATAAAAACCCTAGAATCCCTTAAAAACTGAAAAAATCTAGTAATAAAGCCTAAAACTAAAACTATAATATACATCCTTTAAAGTTGAATAAAAACAAAAAATAACAATAATTTTGCCCTCCATCAGTATTTTTAATTTTTATCTTTTTTTCTCCTTCCTCTTTTCCGTATTTCTTTTCTCTTCTCCACTCTCACAAACTTCCCACTTCTCTATCCTTTTCCTCCAATTTTTTTTCTTCCTTTTCCTTTTCTTTTTTCCATTTTTATTCTCTTATTCTCTACTCCCTTCTTTTCCTCTAGCTTTGTCTTACCATAGCCCTCTAAACAGCACATGTACTCCATTCAAAAATCCACCAAGTCCCTAAAAATTAACCCTGTGGTAAATATTATGGCCCCTAGCTGCTATTTAAGGAAACCTCCTGTGAAGGAGCATGTGATATTAAGGCAGATTGACCAAGAATCACTGCGGTCTAGGCTTAAAAAATTCAATATGGCAATATGATCAAATTAGGTTTCAAAGAAGTCTGTCTAATCACTTTGTATTTGTCAAAAGAGATTCCTATTCTACAACGACACTAATAATGTACGTGGATGATATCATGCTCATAGGAAATAACTTCACAAAATTCAAAAAGTTAAGAGATTTGTTGAGGACAGTTTTTGACATCAAAGATATTGGTCCATTGAAATAATGCTTCACTCAATGACATAGAAGCGCTTAGAGCCAAACCAACAAAATCTCCCATAAAGGCTAATAACAAATTTTATGATCTGCAATCAAAGCGTCCGAGTAAACATGGTATACATCAGAGTTTTGGTTGGTAGACTTATCTACTAGACTTACATAGCCAGACATGGAACATTCATAAGCATGGCGAGTTAGTTTATGCACCCGCCATGCTCCCATCACCAAGGGACCCTTTATCGCAATTTAGAGTAGTTAAAAGTTCTAGGGAAAGGACAAGCTTATAACAGTCACATCCATGCTATAAAAGGCTTTTATGATCGTAGTTGTTGGAAGCATGACATTCTGGGAGCATTTTGTACGAGTTGGATGTGAGGAATCACAAAACCCTAGAAGCTTCTGATGGTAGGTAGCACCATCCGTACAATGCATATCTTAGGAACCAAGATTTCTACCTGTTGGGAATCATATTCAACCACTTGGAACCCCGCAAGTAATTATCAAGGAACAAGTTCCATAAGACAAAAAGGTTCCAGGCTCTAGAGTATCCTTAACCAAGAATCCCTTGGTACTGGAATCAATGTAACGAGTACGCTTAACCACGACTCCCTAGTATTGGAATAGAGGTCCTCAACTTCCATAAACAAAAGTTCCCCTGGCCTTGGAATTGTTGTATTTAGTGTTTAAAAAATTGGTGATGTGATCCAGAATTGCCCGATCCAGATGGGGTATCGACCACGCCGTTCTGGATTTTGAAATAAAACGGGATTTGGCCGGATCCCCTCCTGAACCGGAGGTCCGTACCGGTTTTTTCATAAAAACCCGGAAATCTCCACTGGTTCCACCTGTTTGTTGATTTTTCTTATTAAAAATTAAGTGTGGGGGACCCCATTCGATCACGTGGCATCACCAACATCTTTGGGCTTGAACCTCTCACATGGCCTACTTTCCTGCATCCCATCACATGGTGCCTTTTACGATGGGTTAAACCCTTTTATACGACCATTTTCGCCCACATTTCTTTGATGTGGGATATATCATCATTGTTCATATTAGCATGGCTCACTCTAGCGTTATTGACTATGAGATTATACTTATAACAAAAAAAGCTCATGGGATTATACTTACTATAGGTAACTATCTTTAGCTAATTGGGATTTAAAAAAAATAAATACTAGCTCATAGGATATTAAAAACACAAAAAATAATAGTAATACTACTTTATTGACTATTAAAAAACTAGCTTATACTTTATAAGATATTCTAAGAGAAAAATATAACACTAGCTCATACCACTTTAGAATTTATTTTCAAGTTGTTTTATCAATTATCACACAATACAAATATGAACTTATTTATTTATTATCTTAATTTTATTAAAATATTCTAAATTGTATATTTTGTTCACATTAATTATTACACACGAGATTTATTTATTTTTGAGGGTCATATCCTTGCTTTTTGAATCAAGTTTATTATAATAATATAATTAATAATTATACTAATTACATTGATTATCAAGTCTTATATTTTTATGCATTAATTTATTTACATTATAAATTATATAATATACTCGTTTTCGTTATAATTGTAAATTAAAATTTTAAAATTAGATGATATTATTAGACAAATTATAAAATTTATTCTTATTTGAATAGTAAAATGATTATAAATATAAACTAATAATTTCAACTTCAATATATAATATAAATAGTTAGTTAGGTTGTGATAATTTTGGACAAGTAAAGAGAATTATTAAATGTTTGATGCGATACTAATCCCACTTTATATGGGAAATTATTGTTTTAATCTTATAATATGGAAGTGTTTTGACGCAATATTATAATATTATATTATAATTAACAATGATATCGATATCAGGCAGGAAAACATCTTAGTGTTCACCTATTTTTACAAAGTAATGAAAGTACATAATGCACCACTATTAATTTCTTTTAAAAACTAAAAGAACACTATTTTTAGAGATTTATAGTGATTTTTTAAGGATTTGTTTAGACAAAAATTGCTGATTCGACTGATTCTCCGATTTGATCCACTGATCCAACACGGGGATGGGTGTGACCGATTCGTGCCACCGATCTGCTTTTTAAACATTGGTTGTATTGAGTGCCCTTAACCACGGTTGCCCACAAGTAATGGAATCAAGGTCATCGAGTGCCCTTAACTAGAATTCTTTAAGTACTACAGGTAAGATTTAGGAGTCTAGACACCCACCCTTGTTGGATAAAGTAAAATCCATTTATTAATTAACCATAAAATCCACTCCAAACCCCATATTCCATGAAAGAACCACGAACAATGAGGCTGATTATTACTTTGAATATATGGCTCAGACAATCATTTGGCAAAACCTAAACCCCAATACCCTCTCTAAACTCAAATCTTAATTTCTTATATCCCATTAACCCCAAAATCCTAGACTAAATTGTGGGATTCCTTCCAAAATTTAAATCTCTTTTATGCCCTCATCTTCCCTCTGGGCTGTTTGCTGGTCTATAATTTGATAAGAAATTTCATTTGGGATAATTTTGCTTAAGGACAAATTTCAAATCATTCCAAATTCAAAATCTCACCTCCTAGACATTGAGGCAAATTCCTAGATTGCTAGTTTGATTCGCTAAAGATTGCTTATTTACTTTTCTAGATGATTACTCACTGAAATTATCGATTTTTAGCGATGTTTATATTTATACAATTCTCCAAATGTATTTGCAGGTCTAGTAGTAGAAGAATAGTGATCGCGAATAATAAGTTACGTCTGGAATGAATACATTTCCTACTTAGGCAACTGATTGAGAATTTCAGGGAGAAGGGACCTCCACATGGTCCTTATTGATTTAGAGGAAACATACAAAAAGGTACCTAGAGAGCTAATTTGGTGGATGTTGAAAAAGAAAGGAGTCTCTAGAGGACATATGGATATGGTGAGAGATATGTACAAAGGATTGGTAATTAGTGTGAGGACAACTAGTGGAGATACTAGTGAGTTTTTTGCCACAGTAGCCAACATCAGGGGTGAGCATTGAGCCCATATCTCTTTGTTTTCGTTATGGATGATTGGACTAGGTACTTATAGGATGAGCTATTATGACGTATCTTGTTCGCATATGACATAGTTTGGATTGATGCAATTAAAGTTAGTGTAAATGCAAAGTTAAAACTTTGAATGAATGCTCCAGAATCTAAAGGTTTCAAAATTTGCTGAACTAAGACAGAGTATATGGATTGCAAGTTTAGCAATAATAGGAGTAGAAGCAAGGAGGTAGTTAAGACCGACGGCCAAGAAATATGAAAGAGAGCGCATTTTCGACCAAGTTGTTCAAAAAGTTGTTGAGAACAAAGAAAATACAAGTCCAATGGAGGAAAAGTATTGTGGTACCTATTTATAAGAACAAACGAGTGCGAACTATCGAGGGATCAAACTTATGAGCCACAGCTCTAAGAGAGAGTGATTGAACAATGACTAAGGCATGAAACGAGCGCTTCAGAAAACCAAGTCGGTTTTATGTCAAGGAGGTCAACAACTGAGGCCATTTTCCAACTTAGGCAGCTGATTGAGAAGTTTAGGACAAAGGGAAAAGAACACCAGATGGTCTTTTATTGATCTAAAGAAAACTTATGATGAAGTACCTTGAGATATGATTTGATGGGTGTTGAAAAAGAAAAAAGTCTCCAGAAACTTCATCAACTTGGTGAGAGATATATACGATGGAGTGCTAACTAGTGTACGAACAACTAGTGGAGAGACAAGTGAGTTCTCAGTTAGAATAGGTCTACATCAGCGGTCAGCATTGAGGCCATACCTCTTTGTCTTAATTAAGGACGACTTAACTAGGCACCTACAAGATGAGGTGCCGTGGTGTATGCTAATCGCAAGTGACATAGTTTTGATCAATGAGACCCAAAATGGCGAGAACACAAAGTTGAAACTTTAGAGGGATGCTCTAGAATCTAAAGTTTTTAAAATTAGCCGGACTAAGACAGAGCCCATGGAATGCAAGTTTAGCAATAATAGGAGTAGAGACAAGGAGGTAGTTAAGATAGACGGCCAATAATACCAAAAAAAGAGCGTACTTTCGATATCTTGGGTAGTAAACAAACGCATACTTTCGATATAGTGGGTTGATAGTCGAAAAAAATAGAGAGATTGGGTAAGATGTCACCCATGGAATTAGAGATGGGTGAGCGAAATGGAGATGTGCAACCGGAATTTTATGTGATTGCCACATACCAATGAAGCTGAAGGACAAGTTTTATAGGACAACTATGAGACCAGCTTTATGGGACAAAATGTTGGGAGGTCAAAAATTAATATACCAATAGAATGAGAGTAGCGGAGATAAGGATGTTGAGGTGGATGTGTGGCAAAACAAGAATGGATAGAATTCGAAATTAATACATTCGAAAAAATTTGAGTGTAGCACCAATATGCGATAAGACGAGATAATAGACTTAAATGGGTTAGCCATGTGCGGCACAGACCTAGTACAACGCCTGTTGGGAGGTGCGAGTTAGCTCAAGTGGAAGGCTCAAAAAGGGCAAGGGGTAAGCCCAAAAGGACATGGTTGGAAGTAGTGAGAAAAAGATATGGGGACTTATGGCCTCATTGAGGGTATGGTCCTTAATAAAGTAGAATGAAGGACTAGGATTCGCATAACGGAGATTCGCATAACGGACCCCAATTAGTTGGGAAAAGGATTTAACGATGATGATAAAGAATACATGGAATGCTAGTTTAGTAGTAATAAGAGTAGAAACAAAGAAATAGTTAAGATTGATGGCCACCTAAACGAGATTATTGTCGATATCTTAGGTTAATAATCCAAGAAAATGGAGAGATTGAGGAAGATGTCGTGTATAGAATTAGAGTTGGGTAGATGAAGTGGAGATGTGCATCCAAAGTTTTATGTGATTACCGCATACCAAAGGAGTTGAAGGGAAGTTCTATAGGACGGCTGTAAGACCAGCCATGCTTTATGGTACAAAATGTTAGAGTGGTCAAAAACAATATATCCATACGATGAGTTTAGCTTAGATGAGGATGTTGGGATGGATGAGTGGAAAGATAAGAAGTGATAAAATTCGGAATGGATACATCAGAGGGAACTTAGGGGTGGCTCCAATAGGCGAATAGATAAAGGAGAATAGACTTAGGTGGGTTGGCCATGTGCAACGTAGGCCCAATACAACACTTGGTTAGGAGGAATGACTTGATCGAAATAGCAGGCTCTTAAAGGGCAGGGAGAAGGGCCAAAAGGATAAGGATGGCAGTAGTGAAAAGAAATACGGTGACTTCTAGTCTGACTGAGGGTATGGCCCTTAATACAACGGAATAGCGAAACAAGATTTGTATAGCCGACCCCAAATAGGGATGAGGCATGAATAATGATTATGGTGATGATGATCAGGAATATATATATACACCACACAGTGAAACGTTTCGACCAAAAGAGGAGCGAACCCAATACTTAAGTGCTACAGTAGTTATCAAGATGCATGCAGATGTACTAAATTTCCTAGAACAATCTTTAACTTTGATGCAACCCAACAGCAACATGCATCTCACCTCTCTATTAGAATATTCAGTTTCCTCATATTTACGACATACAAAATGGCAAGTACAAAATAGATACCACATTCCATCAAAGTTACCAGTTGAATTACATTATAGAAAACAATATCTATGATTTCCTGATTAGTCACAGAGACGATATCAAGTTTATTGGGAAAAGCATAAGTATGTACCTGCCACAGATTTATACAAGAACAGTAAACAAAAGTAAATATAAGGAAATTTAAGAAAGAAACGTGTTATTCAATAGAGCCTACCCAGATGTCACACAGTCACCAAGAATGACATAACCTGAAGGAGCTTGGGGTCTCCAAATGGTCAGACCTTGCCAAGTTCTATTACCTACAGTAATAAGCTTCTTGTTAAAGAACTAAAATGAAGCATTACTGCATAATGCAACAGTTTTTCAATACTAAAAAGTTAAAAAGTTTCCAAGTCATATGAAGTATCAAATTAAGGGAGAAAACCTTTCCGTGATGTCCAAACTCGAACAAAGTTGGTACATGAAGCAACTGGACTTGCATTGCCAAATTGCAGTGCTGCAGCTGCCTGATTTTGCAAGTGAAGTACTAGAGAAATCGCACTCAAAGAAAGACGGATATAAATATCAGAAGATACCACAGAGATATTGGTCTTATCTTTCAAACAAGTATATCCTCCCGAGATATCTACGGGGTCAAGGATCACAAGACCAGAACCAGCTTCAATTGTCAAATCTTTAATAAGTGCTCGTACCCAAGTATCTTTCCCTTTTGCAGCAAACCTGCACATGGGACAGACAAATTCATTCATATCAGCAAATGCATAGAAACATACAGGGGAGCAATACCCATTATTATCGTGAAAATAATCATTGTTAAAGGGAATTCTTCCTATTATATTAGCTGTTTCAATGGAAGCATTACTATCTAAAATAACATTTTAAGGAAACTTTCAAAATGAAAGAAGAACTCAAATTCATGATGTACTTCAGTAAACAACAGAAAGCAAATAAAGCACATCTGTAGTAGCCCACGAATCTTGAAAGTAGCACTAGTTCAACTACAGAACTGATGAAATTGATATAAAAATGCCATGCCAAGAATGACTACATCAACATCTTTGACATGTAGTAAAACACAAAACAAAAGAACATACACCAAACAGGTGCTATAAATTTTGCTATATAAAATCTGTAGCTATGAAAGCTCCAAAGTCACATGGAGTCAATCATTATCTATCCCCCCCCGTTTTTTTCCCTAAGATGTTTTGGACCAAAACCAAATTTGATGGAGGACAAAATTATTCTTGTTTTCAATTATTTAATTTCAAAGGATGTGTGTTCTAATTTGAATTTTAGGGATTAGGATTTTTAAGTTTTCTATGGATTCTTTATGTGTGTGTGCGTGCGTGTGGTTTTAGGAGTTGTTTAGAAAAGTTGTTAGGGTGCTTATGGAATATTTTGTTTTATTATAGTAAAAATATCATTACGAATACAAATTTTGTTTAATCATGACTTCTATTTTAATTAGAATTAGGATTTCTTGGGATCTAATTGAGGCCCTTTTTATAAATATGGGTATGAGAATTCAGAATAGGGAGCTGCGTCTTGAGATTGTTTTTTGGGTTTAACCAAGGTGGAGCTGTTCAAGCATGGCTTGCAGGTTTCCTCTTCCAATCAATAGATAATCTTATTTTCTTACCTGCGACATTCTTCCTGCATCAATTGGTATCAAAGAAGAGACTTTGTGATTGGCCAGGAAAGAAATTTTCGATCAACTAGGTATCATGATTTCAGATAGGGTTTATGATTTCAACTCAGTGTTTGCTGATTCCAACCTAGGTTTGTGAATTCACCCCAGGGTTTGTGATTTCAGCCTCGGCTTCTTGATTTTCAACTGGGGTTATTTTATTTTCTACTTACGGATTTCGATGAATCCAGGGGAGCAAAAAGGGGTTGAGGAAGTGGAGCTCTCATGGACTTACCTAGTAATGCCAAGATAAACAAGTTGAAATCACAAAAGGCAAGTTCACCAACTTGCACAACAACTCTGAGGTATCATTTATGGGCAAGGCAGATCTTTCTGCCCAAGAAGATGTCGTAGACAACCCTTTTTACTATCGTGCTCCACCTGATCTATTGAGTGAAGGTGGGCACTTCCAATTTTGATGAACGTGATTTGACTACAACCAGGGGAGAGGTAATCTTGCTGCTTGTGCGTACATTGTGGTTCGTAAGATTAAGTAGGCTGAGGGTGTTGAATCTTTATTTTCATCAAGTCGTTTCCAAACTAAGCATGTTGTAGATTAGGATACGCCACCAGTCTTCGACACATTCTCAAATGCAGAATAAAATCTTATAACACATCTGATCTACAATGACAACAATATATCATTCTTGAACCAATTGTTGAAGAAGAAAAAGATGGAAGGGCTCCAAGGAGAATCAATAGGAGATGTTTGTTCCACCATCGAATCCAGTGTTCATCTCAAACATGCACCCATCATTTGTTCTAGGGCTGAACTTAAGCAAAGTCAGTAAGTCCGTGGCTGAACTCTCTCGACATACAATGAACCATTCCTCGAGGTGTTCTAAAAAAAGTTTATGTGCTTGTTTGGTGATTTCAAAACCACCGTATCAATGCATAATTGTTGTTGTTTTGATTGGGCTAATAAGCCCCATGGGTCCAAGGATTCATTGTTGCAAAAGGGTGTGCGACTAATGCAAAAATTCATCTTAGCCTACTTTAAAACTCGAGGATAAGTTTTCTCCAACCAAGGGGGTCCAATGCAAGACATAATCATTCTTATTTTTAATTTCGGATTAATTTCAAAGTATGTGTATTTTTAAATTTAATTTTACGGATTACTTTTAGGGTTTTAAGTTTTTAGGGATTTCTAGTTCATTCTTTTAATATTTTTATGACTTTATAAGTTGCTTGGAAAAGTAGTTAAGAGTGCTGATGGAATATTTCATTGTATCAAGGGTAAAAATTCCACTACAAATTATTTTTTTAATTATGACTTCTATTTCAATTAGAATTGGGATTTCCAGGGCTCTAGGTGAACTCTTTTATTATACATAGGGTCAGCTATAGAGAATTTAGAATAGAGAGTTGAGTTGCGATTTTTTTATCTGGTTTAACTAATGCAAAGCCATTGAAGCCTAGCTAGCGGGTTTCCTTCTTAATTTTCCATTCAATATATTATTTGTTTTTTCTTCCAAGCGAAATTTTTTCTACATCAAATTTATGACCACTATTTGGACTTGTTAATACATTATTAGACATTACTTGCTAACTATGGGCATACATCAAGCAATGTTGAGCCCTAGGGTTTTAGCCGAGGTTCAGGTTAAGGCTTGAAAGTGCAAAATGCAAACCCATGATTAGGTTCTCTTTTAGTCGACATGCTTCTTTTCAGGTTTTGTCATACATACAGCCAGAGACAATTACTTTCCATATCTGTTATGGGAGAGAATGGAAAACCAGTCCATCATGTAGAAGTTGTTACAATGAAGTGTTTCTTAGGAAAAGGAGTTCCATAGAAGTAGTGGTCGTGTTGAGATCCGCCTCATTTAGTCATCCCACTCTCCCCCTTATCTCTCTCTCTCTCTCTCTCTTATTTTCTCTCTACAAAGAAAGTCGTTGGGACGTAAGATGTAGTTAGTAAGTGGCAGTAAGTAGTTAGAGGGTAACTTACCGAAAGCTCGCCAGACACTTCCTTTCGTCGTAGATGTGTGTGTGTAGAGAGAGAGAGAGAGAGAGAGAGAGAGAGAGAGAGCTTCTTGGTTGAAAGGGTGACATATTTTCTTGCATTAGTTCCCAATAAATAAAGATTCACTTACCAAGGGTAAAGAAAAAACAAGTCCCTCAATCTTTAAGCATCTATAATAAACATCTAAAATGGAACCTGGGTGGCAACCAAACAACATTTAAGTTTTATGAGTAAATGCAATTATACTATCTGAAACTTATTTGGGATATATCTGGTGCATCCAAACAGGGCCATGGCATCCTGCGACTCAATCTTGAGACATCCATTTAGGCAGTATCTAAGGGGCCATCGTCTGCACATAGTATTTGTTTTACACTAGTTTAGAATATTTTAGTTAAAATGTGCCAATTAGAGGAGCTAGATGAAGTTTGTTGCATTTTGTGCACGTAATTGGAAGCATTGTTTTAAAAAGCGGACTACCCATGGCCTGGGGGGCCGTCTAGGCGGTCCAGAAGGCTTGGACGCATCGCCTAGACCTAGGCGGCCAAACTAGGCGGATATCCCTGGACGCCCGCTTAGGTGCTCGGGAATCCGCCTAGGCGCCCACTCGGGCGGCGGCCCAAGGCATGCGCCCCACCCAAGAGCAGAAATGCAGCTCCTTAAGGGTATTTTTGGGGCTGCGCCCCACCCAGGAGCAGAAATGCAGCTCCTAAAGGGTATTTTTGGGTCATTTTTTTAATACTAAAGGGCAGAATTGTGGGTTTCATTTGAAACTTGAAACCCATTAGAGGCTATTTTAGAAAGAGAAAACCCCAAAACAAAATTTTTTTTACTTGGCCGCCCAGGTTCTAGACGCCCACCTGGGCGGGGCCACCTAGGCGCAGGGGGGCCTGGACCCCTCGACCACCTAGGTGCCACCTAGCCAGTGTTTTAAAATGCGGCCGCATCGCCACATATGCGACCGCATCATGCGGGATGCGCTCGCATCCGCATCTTATCACGCGCATATGTGCTTTTGACAGATGCGCCACATCGGCCTCATCATGGCCGCATCCCGCATCATGGCCGCATCAGACCACATCTCGCCCACAAATGTTTCCACGAATTTTTTTTTTTAATGTTTAGGAAAACTGTTTGGGGGTTACTATACCCCCCAATCGAAGATTTCCAACCACTTTTGTGGCATTTTTTGCATCAAATCGAAAGAAAAAAAAATTTTGCGAAATTTTTTTTTTCATCCAAATGTTTGATTTGGCGGTTGTTTGATACTTGGATGTTCATTTGATGCCTTTTATTGTTGATTTGGGGATGTTAAGGTAAATTTGTGATAAGAAATTGGGTATTTCAGAGGCCGTGAAGAAATCGAGCACTACTTCACAGAGTTGGTAACCTTTTATTCCTTCTTGTACAATAATACTGTTATACTTGGGCAATGTCCTCTTCCCAGTCTTCTAGTAACAAGGATCCGGCTTGAAAATATGCTAAACTAAAAAATCCAAAAGATAGAAATTGTGTGATATGCTTGCTCTTGGGAAATATTTATATGGGTGGTATTTTTGGACAAAAAGAGCATTTAACCAGAATTTCTGGGAATGTAAGAGCATGCCCACAAGCTACAGATGATATAAAAAAGGAGATTAGAGAATATTTGGATAGATTGAAAAAAGATAAAGAGAAAAAAAAAAAGAAAAGAAAATAATTACTTGATGATATGCAATTATTTGATGATGTTGATGATGATGATGATGATGATGATATGTCTGAAGTTCTATGAGGCAAAAGGGTAACCTCAAGAGAGAGGGTTCTAAATATTGGTGGTAGTGCTAAGAGAAAAACATCTCTCTCTAAGGGGCCAATGGATTCTTTTTTCACCCCGAGCCCCAAAATTGTGGTTCAAGAGAGAGAAAAAAACAAAACAAACCACAATTGACAATAAATATAAGAAAGAACAAAGGAAGTCGGTATGTAAGTGGATTGCAAAGTGGATTTATATGGCCGACATTCCTTTTAATACTATAACTCTGGATAGTTTTGCATGTATGGTCCAGGTAATTGGGCAATATGGCC